TGCATTGTAACTGTATTGACAGGAGTAAAGTTGTCACTTTGTACATAATTGCATTGTAGCTGTATTGACAGGAGAAGATTTGACACTTTGTATATGGATGCTTTCTAACTGTATTGACAGTAGTAAATTTGACAACACTTTGTTCATAGATGCTTTGTAACTTTAGACAGAAATTAAGCGGACACTTTGTACATAATTGCATTGTAACTGCATTGATAGGAGTAAAGTGGTCACTTTGTACATCGATGCATTGCAACTGTGTTGATAGGAGTAATTTTGACACTTTGTATGTGGATGTATTGTAACTGTATTGATGTATTGTAACTATTGACAGGAGAAAATTTGGCAGTTTGTTCATAGATTCTTTGTAACTGTATTGACAGGAGTAAATTTGACACTTTGTACATAGATGTATTATATTTGTATTGACAAGAGTAAAGTTGACACTTTGTACATAATTGCATTGTAACTGTATTGACAGGAGTAAATTGACACTTTGTACAAAGGTGCATTGTAACTGTATTGAAAGGTAGTAGAGTTGACACTTTATATGTGAATGCATTGTAACTGTATTGACAGGAGTAAAGCTGACACTTTATATGTGGATGCATTGTAACTGTATTGACAGGAGTAAAGTTGACACTTTGTACGTAATTCCATTGTAACTGTATTGACAGGAGTAAAATTTACACTTTGTATATGGATGCATTGTAACTGTATTGAAAGGTAGTAGAGTTGACACTTTATATGTGGATGCATTGTAACTGTATTGACAGGAGTAAAGTTGACACTTTATAAGTGGATGCATTGTAACTGTATTGACAGGAGTAAAATTGACACTTTGTACATAGGTGCATTGTAACTGTATGGAAAGGAGTACAGTTGACACTTTATATGTGGATGCATTCTAACTGTATTGACAGGAGTAAAGTTGTCACTTTGTACATAGGTGCATTGTAACTGTATTTACAGGAGTAAAGCTGACACTTTATATGTGGATGCATTGTAACTGTATTGAGAGGAGTAAAGTTGACACTTTGTTTATAGATGCTTTGTAATTGTATTGACAGAAGTAAAGTTGCCACTATGTACATAGACACATTGTAACTGTATTGACAGAAGTAAAGTTGACACTTTGTGCGTAGATGCATTGTAACTGTATTGAAAGGAGTAAAGTTGACACTTTGTATGTGAATGTATTGTAACTGTATTGACAGGAGAAAAGTTGACACTTTGTTTATAGATGCTTTGTAACTGTATTGACAGGAGTAAAGTTGACACTTTGTACATAGATGCATTGTAACTGTTTTGACAGGAGGAAAGTTGAAACTTTATACACATATGTATTGCAACTGTATTGACAGGAGTAAAGCTGACACTTTATTGCATTGTAACTTGATGACAGGAGTAAAGTTGACACTTTGTATATAGATGCATTATAACTGTATTGAAAGGAGTAAAGTTGACACTTTGTACATAGATGCATGATAACTGTATTGACAGGAGTAAAGTTGACACTTTGTGCATAGATGCATTGTAACTGTATTGAAAGGAGTAAAGTTGACACTTTGTTACTGTATTGACAGGAGTAAATCTGACACTTTGTACATAGATGCATTGTAACTGTATTGACAGGAGTAGATTTGACACTTTGTATATGGATGGATTGTAAATGTATTGACAGGAGTAAAGCTGACACTTCATATGTGGATGCATTGTAACTGTATTGAGAGGGTTAAAGTTGACACTTTGTACATAATTGCATTGTAACTGTATTGACGGGAGTAATTTTAACACTTTGTATATGGATGCATTGTAACTGTATTGACAGGAGTAACGTTGACACTTTGTACATAGATGCATTATATTTGTATTGACAGGAGTAAAGTTGACACTTTGTACATAATTGCATTGTAACTGTATTGACAGGAGTAAAATTGACACTTTGTACATAGGTGCATTGTAACTGTATTGACAGGAGTAGAGTTGACACTTTATATATGTGGATGGGTTGTAACTGTATTGAGAGGAGTAAAGTTGACACTTTGTACATAAATGCATTGTAACTGTATTGACAGGAGTAAATTTGACACCTTGTATATGGATGCATTTTAACTGTATTGACACGAGTAAAGTTGTCACTTTGTACATAGGTGCATTGTAACTGTATTGACAAGAGTAAAGCTGAAACTTTATTTGTGGATGGATTGTAACTGTATTGAGAGGAGTAAAGTTGACACTTTGTACATATATGCATTGTAACTGTATTGACAGGAGTAAAATTGACACTTTGTATATGGATGCATTGTAACTGTATTGACAGGAGTAAAGTTGTCACTTTGTACATAGGTGCATTGTAACTGTTTTGACAGGAGTAAAGCTGACACTTTATATGTGGATGCATTGTAACTGTATTGACAGGAGTAAAGTTGACACTTTGTACGTAATTGCATTATAACTGTTTTGACAGGAGTAATTTTGACACTTTGTATATGGATGCATTTTTATTGTATTGACAGGAGTAACGTTGACACTTTGTACATAGATGCATTATATTTGTATTGACAGGAGTAAAGTTGACACTTTGTACATAATTGCATTGTAACTGTATTGACAGGAGTAAAATTGACACTTCGTACATAGGTGCATTGTAACTGTATTGATAGGGATAAAGTTGACACTTTGTACATAGGTGCATTGTAACTGTATTGACAGGAGTAGAGTTGACACTTTATATGTGGATGCATTGTAACTGTATTGAGAGAAGTAAAGTTGACACTTTGTGCATAGATGCATTGTAACTGTATTGACAAGAGTAAAGCTGACACTTTATATGTGGATGGATTGTAACTGTATTGAGAGGAGTAAAGTTGACACTTTGTACATATATGCATTGTAACTGTATTGACAGGAGTAAATTTGACACTTTGTATATGGATGCATTGTAACTGTATTGACATTAGTAAAGTTGTCACTTTGTACATAGGTGCATTGTAACTGTTTTGACAGGAGTAAAGCTGACACTTTATATGTGGATGCATTGTAACTGTATTGACAGGAGTAAAGATGACACTTTGTACATAATTGCATTGTAACTGTTTTGACAGGAGTAAAGCTGACACTTTATATGTGGATGCATTGTAACTGTATTGAGAGGAGTAAAATTGACACTTTGTACGTAATTGCATTATAACTGTATTGACAGCAGTAAATTTGACACTTTGTATATTGATGCATTTTTATTGTATTGACAGCAGTAACGTTGACACTTTGTACATAGATGCATTATATTTGTATTGACAGGAGTAAAGTTGACACTTTGTACATAATTGCATTGTAACTGTATTGACAGGAGTAAAATTGACACTTTGTACATAGGTGCATTGTAACTGTATTGATAGGGATAAAGTTGACACTTTGTACATAGGTGCATTGTAACTGTATTGACAGGAGTAAAGTTGACACTTTGTATATGGATGCATTGTAACTGTATTGACATGAGTAAAGTTGACACTTTATATGTGGATGCATTGTAACTGTATTGACAGAAGTAAAGTTGACACTTTGTGCATAGATGCATTGTAACTGTATTGACAGGAGTAAAGTTGACACTTTGTATATGGATGCATTGTAACTGTATTGACATGAGTAAAGCTGACACTCTATATGTGGATGGATTGTAGCTGTATTGAGAGGAGTAAAGTTGACACTTTGTACATATATGCATTGTAACTGTATTGACAGGAGTAAATTTGACACTTTGTATATGGATGCATTGTAACTGTATTGACATGAGTAAAGCTGACACTTTATATGTGGATGCATTGTAACTGTATTGACAGGAGTAAAGTTGACACTTTGTACATAATTGCATTGTAACTGTTTTGACAGGAGTAAAGCTGACACTTTATATGTGGATGCATTGTAACTGTTTTGAGAGGTAGTAAAGTTGACACTTTGTACGTAATTGCATTGTAACTGTTTTGACAGGAGTAAATTTGACACTTTGTATATGGATGCATTTTTATTGTATTGACAGGAGTAACGTTGACACTTTGTACATAATTGCATTGTAACTGTATTGACAGGAGTAAAATTGACACTTTGTACATAGGTGCATTGTAACTGTATTGACAGAAGTAAAGCTGACACTTTGTTACTGTATTGACAGGAGTAAATCTGACACTTTGTACATAGATGCATTGTAACTGTATTGACAGGAGTAAAGTTGACACTTTGTTTATAGATGCTTTGTAACTGTATTGACAGAAGTAAAGCTGACACTTTGTTACTGTATTGAGAGGAATAAAGTTGACACTTTGTCCATAGATGCATTGTAACTGTATTGACAGGAGTATTGTTGTCACTACGTACATTGATGCTTTGTAACTGTATTGACAGAAGTAAACCTGACACTTTGTACATCGATGCATTGCAACTGTGTTGATAGAGGAATTTTGACGCTTTGTATGTGGATGCATTGTAACTGTATTGACAGGAGTAAATTGGACACTTTGTTCATAGATGCATTGTAACTGTATTGAAAAGTGTAAAGTTGACACTTTGTTTATAGATGCTTTGTCACTATATTGACAGAAGTAAAGTTGACACTTTGTGCATAGATGCATTGTAACTGTATTGAAAGGAGTAAAGTTTACACTATGTTTATAGATGCTTTGTAACTGTATTGACAGGAGTAAATTTGACTCTTTGTACATAGACACATTGTAACTGTATTGACGGGAGTAAATTTGACACTTTGTGCATAGATGCATTGTAACTGTATTGACAGGAGGAAAGTTGACACTTTGTACACAGATGTATTGCAACTGTATTGACAGGAGAAAAGCTGACACTTTATTGCAGTGTAACTTGATGACAGGAGTAAAGTTGACACTTTGTACATAGATGCATTATAACTGTATTGACAGGAGTAAAGTTGACACTTTGTACATACATGCATTATAACTGTATTGACAGAAGTAAAGCTAAAACTTTGTAACTGTATTGAAAGGAGTAAAGTTGACGCTTTGTTCATAGATGCTTTGTTACTGTATTGACAGGAGTAAAGTTGACACTTTGTACATATATGCATTGTAACTGTATTGACCGGAGTAAATTTGACACTTTGTATATGGATGCATTGTAACTGTATTGACTTTAGTAAAGTTGTCACTTTGTACATAGGTGCATTGTAACTGTTTTGACAGGAGTAAAGCTGACACTTTATATGTGGATGCATTGTAACTGTATTGACAGGAGTAAAGTTGACACTTTGTACATAATTGCATTGTAACTGTTTTGACAGGAGTAAAGCTGACACTTTATATGTGGATGCATTGTAACTGTATTGAGAGGAGTAAAGTTGACACTTTGTACGTAATTGCATTGTAACTGTTTTGACAGGAGTAAATTTGACACTTTGTATATGGATGCATTTTTATTGTATTGACAGGAGTAACGTTGACACTTTGTACATAGATGCATTATATTGTATTGACAGGAGTAAAGTTGACACTTTGTACATAATTGCATTGTAACTGTATTGACAGGAGTAAAATTGACACTTTGTACATAGATGCATTGTAACTGTATTGACAGGAGTAAAGTTGACACTTTGTTTATAGATGCTTTGTAACTGTATTGACAGAAGTAAAGCTGACACTTTGTTACTGTATTGACAGGAGTAAATCTGACACTTTGTACATAGATGCATTGTAACTGTATTGACAGGAGTAAAGTTGACACTTTGTTTATAGATGCTTTGTAACTGTATTGACAGAAGTAAAGCTGACACTTTGTTACTGTATTGAGAGGAATAAAGTTGACACTTTGTCCATAGATGCATTGTAACTGTATTGACAGGAGTATTGTTGTCACTACGTACATTGATGCTTTGTAACTGTATTGACAGAAGTAAACCTGACACTTTGTACATCGATGCATTGCAACTGTGTTGATAGAGGAATTTTGACGCTTTGTATGTGGATGCATTGTAACTGTATTGACAGGAGTAAATTGGACACTTTGTTCATAGATGCATTGTAACTGTATTGAAAAGTGTAAAGTTGACACTTTGTTTACAGATGCTTTGTCACTATATTGACAGAAGTAAAGTTGACACTTTGTGCATAGATGCATTGTAACTGTATTGAAAGGAGTAAAGTTGACACTATGTTTATAGATGCTTTGTAACTGTATTGACAGGAGTAAATTTGACTCTTTGTACATAGACACATTGTAACTGTATTGACGGGAGTAAATTTGACACTTTGTGCATAGATGCATTGTAACTCTATTGACAGGAGGAAAGTTGACACTTTGTACACAAATGTATTGCAACTGTATTGACAGGAGTAAAGCTGACACTTTATTGCATTGTAACTTGATGACAGGAGTAAAGTTGACACTTTGTACATAGATGCATTATAACTGTATTGACAGGAGTAAAGTTGACACTTTGTACATAGATGCATTATAACTGTATTGACAGGAGTAAAGTTGACACTTTGTGCATAGATGCATTGTAACTGTATTGACAGGAGTAAATTTGACACTTTGTTCATAGATGCTCCATAACTGTATTTACAGTGGTAAAGTTGACGCTTTGTACATAGATGCATTGTAACTGTATTGAAAAGAATAAAGTTTACACTTTGTTTATAGATGCTTTGTAACTGTATTGACAGAAGTAAACCTGACAGTTTGTACATCGATGCATTGCAACTGTGTTGATAGGAGGAATTTTGACACTTTGTATGTGGATGCATTGTAACTTTATTGATAGGAGTAAATTTGACACTTTGTTCATAGATGCTTTGTAACTGTATTGACAGGAGTAAATTTGACACTTTGTACATAGACACATTGTAACTGTATTGACAGGAGTAAATTTGCCATTTGTTCATAGATGCTTCGTAACTGTATTGACAGGAGTAAATTGGACACTTTGTACACAGATGTATTGCAACTGTATTGACAGGAGTAAAGCTGACACTTTATTGTATTGTAACTTGATGACAGGAGTAAAGTTGACACTTTGTACATAGATGCATTATAACTGTATTGACAGGAGTAAAGTTGAAACTTTGTACATAGATGCATTATAACTGTATTGACAGGAGTAAAGTTGACACTTTGTGCATAGATACATTGTAACTGTATTGAAAGGAGTAAAGTTGACACTTTGTTTATAGATGCTTCGTAACTGTATTGACAGAAGTAAAGTTGACACTTTGTACATAGATGCATTATAACTGTATTGACAGGAGTAAAGTTGACACTTTGTACATAGATGCATTATAACTGTATTGACAGGGGTAAAGTTGACACTTTGTACATAATTGCATTGTAACTGTATTGACAGGAGTAAATTTGACACTTTGTTCATAGATGCATTGTAACTGTGTTGACACGAGTAACGTTGACACTTTGTACATAGGTGCATTGTAACTGTATTGATAGGTGTAAAGTTGACACTTTGTACATAGGTGCATTGTAACTGTATTGACAGGAGTAAAGTTGACACTTTGTACATATATGCATTGTAACTGTATTGACAGGAGTAAATTTGACACTTTGTATATGGATGCATTGTAACTGTATTGACTTTAGTAAAGTTGTCACTTTGTACATAGATGCATTGTAACTGTTTTGACAGGAGTAAAGCTGACACTTTATATGTGGATGCATTGTAACTGTATTGACAGGAGTAAAGTTGACACTTTGTACATAATTGCATTGTAACTGTTTTGACAGGAGTAAAGCTGACACTTTATATGTGGATGCATTGTAACTGTATTGAGAGGAGTTAAGTTGACACTTTGTACGTAATTGCATTGTAACTGTTTTGACAGGAGTAAATTTGACACTTTGTATATGGATGCATTTTTATTGTATTGACAGGAGTAACGTTGACGCTTTGTACATAGATGCATTATATTGTATTGACAGGAGTAAAGTTGACACTTTGTACATAATTGCATTGTAACTGTATTGACAGGAGTAAAATTGACACTTTGTACATAGATGCATTGTAACTGTATTGACAGGAGTAAAGTTGACACTTTGTTTATAGATGCTTTGTAACTGTATTGACAGAAGTAAAGCTGACACTTTGTTACTGTATTGACAGGAGTAAATCTGACACTTTGTACATAGATGCATTGTAACTGTATTGACAGGAGTAAAGTTGACACTTTGTTTATAGATGCTTTGTAACTGTATTGACAGAAGTAAAGCTGACACTTTGTTACTGTATTGAGAGGAATAAAGTTGACACTTTGTCCATAGATGCATTGTAACTGTATTGACAGGAGTATTGTTGTCACTACGTACATTGATGCTTTGTAACTGTATTGACAGAAGTAAACCTGACACTTTGTACATCGATGCATTGCAACTTTGTTGATAGAGGAATTTTGACGCTTTGTATGTGGATGCATTGTAACTGTATTGACAGGAGTAAATTGGACACTTTGTTCATAGATGCATTGTAACTGTATTGAAAAGTGTAAAGTTGACACTTTGTTTATAGATGCTTTGTCACTATATTGACAGAAGTAAAGTTGACACTATGTTTATAGGTGCTTTGTAACTGTATTGACAGGAGTAAATTTGACTCTTTGTACATAGACACATTGTAACTGTATTGACGGGAGTAAATTTGACACTTTGTGCATAGATGCATTGTTACTCTATTGACAGGAGGAAAGTTGACACTTTGTACACAAATGTATTGCAACTGTATTGACATGAGTAAAGCTGACACTTTATTGCATTGTAACTTGATGACAGGAGTAAAGTTGACACTTTGTACATAGATGCATTATAACTGTATTGACAGGAGTAAAGTTGACACTTTGTACATAGATGCATTATAACTGTATTGACAGGAGTAAAGTTGACACTTTGTGCATAGATGCATTGTAACTGTATTGACAGGAGTAAATTTGACACTTTGTTCATAGATGCTCCATAACTGTATTTACAGTGGTAAAGTTGACGCTTTGTACATAGATGCATTGTAACTGTATTGAAAAGAATAAAGTTTACACTTTGTTTATAGATGCTTTGTAACTGTATTGACAGAAGTAAACCTGACAGTTTGTACATCGATGCATTGCAACTGTGTTGATAGGAGGAATTTTGACACTTTGTATGTGGATGCATTGTAACTGTATTGACAGGAGTAAATTTGACACTTTGTTCATAGATGCTTTGTAACTGTATTGACAGGAGTAAATTTGACACTTTGTACATAGACACATTGTAACTGTATTGACAGGAGTAAATTTGCCATTTGTTCATAGATGCTTCGTAACTGTATTGACAGGAGTAAATTGGACACTTTGCACACAGATGTATTGCAACTGTATTGACAGGAGTAAAGCTGACACTTTATTGTATTGTAACTTGATGACAGGAGTAAAGTTGACACTTTGTACATAGATGCATTATAACTGTATTGACAGGAGTAAAGTTGACACTTTGTACATAGACACATTATAACTGTATTGACAGGAGTAAAGTTGACACTTTGTGCATAGATACATTGTAACTGTATTGAAAGGAGTAAAGTTGACACTTTGTTTATAGATGCTTCGTAACTGTATTGACAGAAGTAAAGTTGTCACTTTATTCATAGATGCTTTGTAACTGTATTGACAGGAGTAAATTTGACACTTTGTACACAGATGTATTGCAACTGTATTGACAGGAGTAAAGCTGACACTTTATTGCATTGTAACTTGATGACAGGAGTAAATTTGACACTTTGTATATAGATGCATTGTAACTGTATTGAAAGGAGTGAAGTTGACACTTTTTACATAGATGCATTATAACTGTATTGACAGGAGTAAAGTTGACACTTTGTGCATAGATGCTTTGTAACTGTATTGGCAGAAGTAAAGCTGATACTTTGTAACAGTTACTGTATTGAAAGGAGTAAAGTTGACACTTTGTGCATAGATGCATTGTAACTGTATTGAAAGGAGTAAAGTTGACACTTTGTTTATAGATGCTTTGTAACTGTATTGACAGAAGTAAAACTGACACTTTGTACATCGATGCATTGCAACTGTGTTGATAGGAGTACAACTGACACTTTATATGTGGGTGTTTTGTAACTGTAAGGAAAGGCGTAAAGTTGACACTTTGTACATTAATGCTTTGAAACTATATTGACAGGAGTATTGTAGAGACTTTGTACACAGGTGCATTGTAACTGTTTTGACAGGAGTGATGCTGACACTTTATAATTGCATGCATTGTAACTGTATTCACAAGAGTAAATTTGACACTTTGTATATGGATGCATTGTAACTGTATTGACGGGAGTAAATTTGACACTTTGTATATGGATGTATAGTAACTTTATTGACAGAAATAAATTTGACACTTTGTACATAGGTGCATTGTAACTGTATTACAACTTGACTGTTTTGAACTTATAGGCCGTCGGTCCAACGATCACTTGATTGTCTGGTCTTTATACAGGCCGTTGTCTTACGTCAGGATTATTGTGTTAGGCAACAAACAAACACATACTTTTTTATGGAAACTGTTTGAATGGCGTTTGCTACTCATGGGTGGCGAACATTTTTGCGAACAGCTGGTGCCATCACTGATATTGTACACGGATAAATGTGTTCATGTATTTCCTGAAGTAAAATTAATCGTTGGTACATAGACACGTTAGAGACTTAACTCCTTGTAGTAAAATTCGCACTTTGCATTGTAAATGGTTTGGCATGTTTATTTGATTGGACATGCGTGACTGGAGTAAAATTGATACTTTGAGACATAATTAAGATTCACTGATAATCATTGTATAATAATTGACCAATATTAGACATAATTTGTATTGTGTACATTTATCTGTATACGTAATTATCTTTGTCAATCCTCTTTGACAAGTTACACATTCCTGGTTTTATTTCACTTCATTGTTTGTCATTTTCTTGAAATCCATGTGCACTTGGTGATAATAAAGAAACTATTTATGTTCTTTTTTTCTGTATGATTTGTCGCTTACTTATTCCCACAACTAAGGACTAAGGATTCATTTTACCAAATTTTGATTTAAGGCAAGAGAGAGAGAGAGAGAGAGAGAGAGAGAGAGAGAGAGAGAGAGAGAGAGAGAGAGAGAGAGAGAGAGAGAGAGATCATGGCATGTCAGGTTTATGTGTCAGAAAAGCCCCAAGCCACATTGGCAAAAACCACAAGCTGGCAAACAAAGAAACATAATCAGGGTGTATGTCGGATTCAAAACCCATGATCATCGTTTCAGGCACACCTAGTGCTTGCAACACTGCTCAGCAAATTTAAGCATCTGAGACGACTGGGCCACCCATACTCCTTCATGTAATGGAACATACTGTCCTGTCAGTGTGGTTTGAACACATCATGGAGTCCATGAGGTCTGAGATGAAACATAATTATTATTGTTTTTCCTGTTTTCCTGACCTTTGGCTATAATTATCTCAGAGACTAATAACATGAGCAATGATCCATGTTGTCAAGACAATAACATGCAAATCTGCATGGTTATAATTTGACAACAATTGTTGTTAACTCTTATGATAATCAGGAAATTACTGGGGTCACAATCTAACCTAGAATGCCAGAGGGCATATGACATCATGACTGGATTGATATCTTTGCGGGAATCGAACTCCGTTCCACAAACTGAGTGATACTGGAGTCATGAGGAGCTGATTCATAGGAAGGATTTGCTACTGTCATCTAGACGGGCCTACCTTAAATGTTGCATTTCAACCACGTCCGCACCAACAGCATGCAGGTTTCAGTGTAACATTTACATATTCCAGGAAACAGATCATACAGAATTCAGCTTAACACGTGGTATATTCTAGGAAACAGATCATGCAGACTGAGACAGTTCAAGTGATAAACGAAATATATACCAATTTTTTTTACACATTTAAGTACACTGCATGCCAACTACAGTATTTGACAATTTGAGATTTTATACCATCTCTGTTGTTTAGAACATGGAACACCAACAAGGCTACAGTGGTACTGCATGCTCCACAATAGTAGTGACTGAAACTGTGAACAATGGTACAGAAGTACAGCCAACCAACAATTATAGTGACTACAATTGCCAAATGAAGCCCAACAGTGGTAGTCACTAAAATGGACAACAATGGTTTCATTGTTCTGCATCTCAACAATGGCGTAACTTACCAACAATGGTATTTGTCCACTGGAAACGAAATCAAAGGAAATAAGGTCAGACGCAGAGTCTGATCACCGAATCGTCATTAAGCAGCTTGTACGAAAGGCAATTCTACCCAAGAATGGAAGACGACATCCCAGTAGAATGCAAGCGCCTGGTGCAGCCAGACATGAATGAATGAAATCTTTAAGACAAATATGACAATATTTTTGTTGATTGTTTACAGACGCACTTTGCATGGTCCTGCTATATCATGATAGCCTGTATTTAATCACATCTGGACGGGGGAACGAGTGGCCAAGTCTTTTTAGGCGCCGGAATTCTCTGTGCTTAGTTGCAACCATTGGGCATGCAGAAACCTGTGGTCGTGGGTTCGAATCCCGGTTGTCCTGATTATGTGTCTAGGTTGTCAGCACCATACCCGTGCTAGTGGATTTCACCAAAGTGGTAAACGTCTCAGGCCGGCATCACCTCGGGCGTCCCTCCTACATTAAGCTGACACGCCGTGATATAACGGTAATACTGTTCAAAGCGGTGTTAAAACCAACTCACTCACTCAGTCTGACAATCCATTGATTGATATTATGAATAACCTAACATCCCACTGGGGTATAATGACATACTATCAACTGAGTCTAATCCTGATCCATGAAATCGCTGCTCACGGCCTAGTTGCTATTTTAATCCCAACATTTCAACCTCAATTCTCTATGTGGTAATGCCCAAAGCCCAAACTAGTGCTGGAGGTGTTTAGAGTAGGTTGGATATTTGCGACAAGATCTAAACCCTCCAAAGAAAGGCTGCGTTAAATAACTTATCAAACAAACAGAATTTGACTCATGTAGTCAGTTGGAGGACCACAAGTCACACAACTCAAACTCAACCCCCCTCTTCTTACACATTTACTTTAAACAGTTTGACGAAAATGTTGCTAAGCATGGTTAGGGAGTCATAACAAGTATTCCATATCCCATGGGTTGAGTGACAATGATAAATCGTCATTAAGGGGCTTTGTCTGTGTGGGTATCGTGTTAAACTGCGGCATGGTGTGGGCTATGGCACCATTAAATTGGCATTAGTCTGGACTATAACAAGCAGCAACACGAGCTACATAAGTGCAATTATCTTGAACGCGACGTTAATCCCCATTTCACCTCACCTCATCTCATCTCAGCTACAACATTCAAGGCCTCAATAAAGCTTTCAAAAAGTTTGATGGTAGACCTATGGAGGACATGCAATCCCGATGCAATTCCTTATTTTGACTCATGTCTTTGATCACGTTCTTTTTCAGGTGAGAAAATGTCTTGCCTGTGCATGTGTTTGTGGCGTTTCCTTTTCGCAAACACCTGGTACCATCGCTGTTTGATAGTGATTCATTAACACATGCTCATGATATAGCCGGAATCGTACAGTGGACTCTGCTTTTAGTAGAGAAGTTCCCTACGAATATGAAAAGGGTTTTGTCGCCTTTATTGGTGAATAGATGTGACATGCATCACACAAGGAAAACATCTGGCCATATAAATACTTGATATAAGCTTGAAACCATTAGTGTATTTTCTCCACATACCGTGTCACATGAGGTCCGTGGGTAAATACTGGGAGAAGCGTGGGCTATAGATGAAATAGATGAGCTAAATCATGTTCAGTTTATTCATAAATAATTTCAAAATACCAGTCGCAATAACCATTCCTATTATGTTGTTTTTTACTTAATATTAACGAACGGATGCGCATTTAAAATACGTTTGTGTGTTTATTTTTACAGTATATCAAAATAGTTTTACACCACTGACATAAAATGTTTGCGTTTAGGAACAGACACTTCAACATATCTGCACTGAAGCTTTGTTTGTGGTGTGAAAAAGAACAGACGGTTGTGCATTTTTGAATGCATAAGTGCAAGTTCACAAGAATAAAAGCTTAAATGTTCGAGATGCATGCTAGGATGATTCCGGCGCCTTGGAGTTGAAGTGGAAGATTTCCTTAGGTGTGGCCTGGGGTGATCGTGATTGTGAAATGGGGTTTAACGTCGCGTCCAAAATTATTGCACTTACATAGCGAGTGTGTGTGTGTGTGTGTGTGTGTGTGTGTGTGTGTGTGTGTGTGTGTGTGTGAGTGTGGCTGCTTATACTAATACGGACTGATGCCGATTTATAGAGCTAGCCCTCTGAGATACCATGATTATTGTTGCCACATATGGGACAACTGCACAAAAGAACAGGCGTTACTAATAAATCTAGATGCACTCAGAACTATTTGGGCTGTTCGTGGCACAAGTCACGGTAAACTTTATAAAGAAAAAAATCTTACGTCATTAGAAGAAAGAAGGCATTTTCAAAAGTTAAATATTTTTTTATAAAATGGTTAACAATCTAGTACCGGACTATCTCTCATCCTTTGTTCCAAATAGAGTGTCGGGTGCAAGTGATTATAATTTGAGAAACTGCTCACAGCTGCAAACCACAAAGTGTAAATCAAATAATTATGCCAAATCATTTATTCCAGATACAGTTAATATTTGGAACTCACTACCTATTGAATACACCAATGCCAGTAGCTTAGGAAGTTTCAAAGGTTTTATAAAAAGCAATGATAGGAATGGTATATACTTTGATACAAATTATGGATCAAGATTCTGTCAGGTTATACACACCCGTCTCAGGCTTCGCTGCAGTGATCTAAACGCCGACAAATTTGCCAGATTTATATCCGACAGCCCGAGATGTTGTTGTGGCTATCATACGGAAGATGCACTTCATTTCTTTCTTACGTGTCCCTTAAACACTACAGTAAGGCAAAACAGGTATTATTTCGTAAAAGGCTACGATTTAAATTCAATTCTAAATGGTAATTCAAATGTAACGACAGTAACAAATCTTGAAATTTTGAAATCGGTGCACAGTTTTATTCTATCGTCTTGCCGATTTAGAGATTTTGTCTGAGATGTTGGCTTTGCTATACGATACTGCAATGTTGTTATGCTGAAAGTAAATAATAATGTAACTGTAGTTACGGAAGATAATCCAGTAATTAAACACTTACAGAACAATACTTATCTTTAATGTCAATTATACAATGTATGCTATTTCTCATGTCACTATCAATACATTGCTATTTGTATATGTATCATGTTTTGGAGAGGCATTCAGATAAGCAAAATTTGCTTGTTTGCCAATCCCTCCACTTTTATGGAAATAAATATGTTTATATCAGAAAACGTTGATTTTTAACACACTTATTTCTGTACGATTAAACAAACTGTGGACTTTGAAGACATTTTCGCTTATTGTAATAAGATCAAGGTAAAACTTCATATCTTTCTCTGAATTCCACGGGCATAGTTGCTGTCAAACATAAGAACGTAATCAGGGCGGCCAGCTTTGACTCGTCATGTGCCTTAAAGTGAGTTTAAACATGTCAAAAGCGATTGACCCTACAATATAGGGTCATTTACTCCAACGTTCTAAATGTCAATCGTCTTAACAGGACCATAACGTTTCTTATATATATATATCGACTACCTGTCTCTATGTCTTAAGTTGTTAATCGGTAACAGCGGTCCAAATTTATCAACTTATTCATCTATTGTTGCAAACTTGACTGATTTGTTCGCACAATAAAAATTCTAATTGATCGTGCACTACTGAGGCAGTCAAACACCTGTATAAGAAATATAAAGGCAGCCATGTTACATGTAGTCCCAAAAGCTGGCAATTATTTCGCCGCAATATAACTGAAAAAATGCTGATATGACGTGACATATAAACTTACCCACAGACAATACATTGTTTCCAGAGAGTGTAGCACAATTT